CTGCCCCTACTTCAGCGGGCTTCTCCTCTGCCCCCACCTCTTCTTCAGCGGGCTTCTCCTTTGCCCCCACCTCTTCTTCAGCTTCCCCCCATTGCAGTATCATTGAAGGCACCATATTCAGTAAAAATGTCATCATCGCCCCATTGTTCTTCTTCACCTTCTTCCATTACAACTCCGGTTTCTCCGTGCTTCGTCCAACAAATATAGTTTGGCATAAAACCCGACTTGAACGAGTGTGAATGAAGAGTCTTTGAGTTAGCATATTCCATCGTATTCTTACATACGGCACATGGGCAGCACATGAAACCATCGCGTTTGTTTGCCTCGGCTGCACATAACAAAGAATGCACGCTGTCCATGAACTCTTGGGAGCGACGATCAGCATTGTACATCCAATGCCGACTTATCTGTATTACATGACATAAATACCGTATTAAAACCTAGAACATAATTAGTTAATTATACAACATGTATACCACCACAAAAGTTATAAATTTAAGAAAGCCTCGCTACAATGTAGACAATCCTAACTACCACTAAAAACACTAAAGCTAAAATGCACTTCAGCAGCATAAGGATTTCACGACCAATCCCAACTAAAACAGACAGATCCCCCGTTTGTTCAACATCTTTGGGCTTCTTCGGCTGGATCACTGCCTTATTAGCCGCCATATCTGCCTGTTGTGCAAGATATTTTTGCACGAGTTCAACATACTCTTCCTCCTAGTAGAAGCCTGAACATCAAGTGCCATCCCACTAATATTAAAACAGAAAATTAGAACTTTAATCACAACCATCATGAAAATAGGTATAAACTAACCATAGTCATTAAATACGATAAAATAACTCACATTGCGATTCGGACACTTGTAGAAAATGCGACCCTTGTTGGGACCCTCCTTCTTCACTCGGTACTCCATCATAATCTTCGTCTCATCACAACACTTGCCGCATGCAATGAGTGGGAGGCCCGACCTAAGTCTCTTTGGAAACACATGAGAGGCCGAGGACCCGGAAGCAGTTGCCATCTACTTTCTATACTCATTTTTTAATACACTATAAATTTCTCATTTTATAAACAAATAAAATTAAAAAAACTCTAAAATTCTCTATATCTCTAAACAATGAAGTGTGCTATGCATGCTACAAATGAACAGTGAATACTAGTTTTTAATAGCTACTTTAACCTTCCTTCATGTAAATATGCAAGCTTGAAGTGATTTTGAGCTCAAATTGCTTACAAATGAAAAAAACCATAATAAAGAACCATATATATATAGTGAACAAAATGAGATAAGACAATGGTGAAACATGAGAGTATGAAGTTGGTAACCTTTAGAACCGAAGAATCGAAGGAGGAATCGAAGAAATCGACGGAGGAATCGAAGAATGGATGGAGAAAGAGCAAGAACACTGCTTAAATTTGAATTGAAGCTCTCGGGCGGGCTCGGGGAGGAAGAAGACGACCAGCTGGATTTATAGGGGGAACCTTTAGTCCCGGTTGGTGGATCCAACCGGGACTAAAGGTCACTTTCCAGTCCTGAACCACGCCACTAGCCGGGACAAGAGCTTTACTCCCGGTTGGAGCCACCAACCGGGAGTAAAGGTCGACCTTTAGTCCCGGTTGGTGGCTCCAATCCAACCGGGACTAAAGGTCCCCTGCCACAACGGCCTGGCGCATGAGTCGTTGGGCAGGGACCTTTAGTCCCGGTTGGAGCCACCAACCAGGACTAAAGGTCTCTCTAGTCCCGGACACAATATTTTCCAGGACTAGAGCCTGGTTTGGCTCTTGGATCAAAGGTCTGTTCTCTACTAGTGTGAGCCTTTTCACGGGAGGAGGCAGGGGAGTCAAGATTGAGTTAAGGTTGGCTAACTTCATTTTTCTGATTTTTTTATCGTTTTGCATTTGTTTATTTTGCCTCTCTGAACTGCATGTAGATGAATATGACTATACATAATATAATATGTTGTGAGAAATGTGATATTCTAATGTGCTAGTTTTAGAAAAAAATTAAAATGGCTACATAATTCACATGACACAATGGATCACAACACCTTACAAGATCGAATGAAATGTTGTAACTAGTCTATGATACAGCGAAATGAGCTTGTGCACTGAGAGAGTATGTTTCATTCATAGTTTACAATGTTGTCACGTCTTGAAACCAATGTGATGAAACCTCCCACCGAGACCGGCCTTAAACTAACATTAGTACAGTTCTACAGAGCTTACAACTAATCTATCATTACTTACACCGCACTTCAAAATACCTATCATGCAAATAAATCCATAACTTTTCAAATTAAGATGAATTTTGTATAAAATTGTAGATCTAAATAAAATCTAAAACATTGTATTTGACGACATTTTTACTTGAGAAATGTTTAGGGGCGGAGCCGACCAGGTTCAGTTCGATGCAAGGTAGCTAGCTAGGGTCTTGGTCATCCACTCACTCACTCAGCCCAGCCATAGACAGAAGCATGGAAACGGAATAAGGCTTTCATTACAGTGTGTGCTTTCTGTTATAGTGCAACACGTATTTATAGGCGAGATAAGGTGTCACTGATTCGAGCAAAAATAATCGCCCACAACCCTCCCTGTCTGCTTGTCAACACATAGCAGAGACGAATACAATCCGCTTTGCCTGTGTCCAGAAAATATCGACCAAATGAATGGCTGGAAATAAAGCCACCATCTCGTTCTCGCTAACAGCTAGCGCGAACACTACCCTTCTGCTGACCGTTTGCGACGACGTGTGGTGTGTGTGACGGCGACGGATCAGAGGAGACGCATGCACGAAAAGTACACTCCAGAAATAATCGACCAAAAATGAACGGCTGGAAACAACAGCGCGAAAAGTACACGATTCTGGCGTGGCCGATTGCAACGACGTGCAGCGACCGGGCGTCGGGTCGGATGAGACGGACATTATGGTCCTTGTAAAAACATACAGTCGTGTATAAATATGGCTCCACGGGAGCACTGTACAAGAGGATGGAATTTTGGTTCCAAGATTAATACAAGCGTTCCCTTTCGTTTCATCTTTGTGTTCTTCACTTTCGGTATTTTCGGTAGCTAGAGCGACAACCTGATGCTCGAAGGTGGAGGCCTAGAACAACACGAGCCGATTTGGGGCTATATCGATATACATTTAGGTGGGGAGTAAACCCCCCGGTGACATTCAAAAAAAGAAAAATAATAAGCGAGCCCAGCTGGAAGCTAAACCGGCCTGGTTTAGGCCAAAAACGCTTTAGCAGTGCCAGTGTTGCTCCCGTTGCAATGTGTTGATTTGATTCAGTTTCCTAGTGCCATACTGGAGTCTGCGATATGGCTCATCGGCCATTGCTGCATTGTGGCTGGGTTGCTACCCGCTAGTACGGCACCGATCATGGCCGACCAGTTGCCTCCTCACGCCAGGCGCTAGCCCACCAGCACAACATGTCGATGATGAACTACAACGCTAAATATGTTGTACTAAATCTGTTTCAAATTATAAGACGTTTTGGCTTTTCTATATACATTGTTTTTACTATGTATGTAGACATAGTGTATGTCTATGTGCATAGCAAATGCAATGCATCTAGAAAAGTCAAAACGTCTTATAATTTGGAACGAAGGGAGTAGTATAGAAGGGGGAAAAGGAAATTGAAATTGATCGATCCTATTGTGGAATTGATTCTCCTGTACGTTGTAGTCCTACAATCAGCTAGTGTTAATATATTGTTATCTCTTGTTTATATATGATTGCTCTGTCATATATATTAGCAGTACAAAGTTCATCATTGGTGGATTTTTGTTCTAGATCTGCCACTGTTTGTTAGTGTAGAAACTACTATAGACTTCTGGCAATCATGACTTTATTTGAATCGATGAGAGGACCGGGCCGGTCACATGATCGTAGGCACCTTGATTTCCTCCTCTCCACGGCTATGAGTAATGAATAGGATAAAAGGTACCTGGCTGACACGCCGACGAGGTTTCTTGAAACCTAAAACCCCACACGCCCTAAGGGACCCCGTTGGGGCATGCGGCGGCTATGGTATCTAAATGAAACTCCATTTAGCAGCAATGTCTGGCTAAATGCCGCTATTAGCGCATACGATTGCTTAGCACTAAAAGTTGCTTCTCCTAGCTGTTGCTTTTTCTCCAACAGCTATCTCCGGCTATAGTTGCAGCTATAGTTGGAGATTTAAAACCTTGGTCACCATCATGCTCCTTGCTCTAGCGCTCCAGCCCATCAATAAGCTTTTGTTTCGTTTATGTTTGTGGTTATTTTAAATTATCTTTCGTAACGACAGATGTGGTAATTTAGATATAAATTAGTGGTTACTTTATGTATTTTTTATAATGACCGAGTTGGGTAGTTTTTTTTATATAAACAACAATAAATCCAATGGCTTTTGCCGGTGATGATGATTAGAGTCTAACAACTTAAATGCCAGAGGTTTTTAACTATTGAAAAAATTTTCTAGGATTTATTAATTTTTCTTAGCACGTCTGATAAGAATTATCCGTGATACATCTGTTAGGGTCTCTAATTAGTAATAGTAAATTAGATGAAAAGTGCGGATATCTTTATTTAAGCTTTCACTGTTTCTCGGTCAAATTAAAGTTTTAAAATCTTCCTGGATATTCTACCGACAACACTACTAGTAGCCTTTCATTGCAAGGAATAGACGCACACGGTTGTTCCGCTTTGTCTGTGTCCAGAAATTTTCGACCAAATGAACGGCTGGAATCAACAGTGCGAAAAGTACACTCTTCTGGCATGCCCAATTTCCACGACGTGTAGCGACTGGCGTCGGATCGGATGAGACGGACAAATGGACACTGTATCTGTATCAGAGGCTCGTAGGCGACAAGCTCGCTACGAGATTTTTCGTGTGGTGTCTGTGTGCTGATAAAACACCGAATTACTGAAGAAGCAGCCAGCTAGCATACTTGCGTACACTGGTAGGTGAGACACGCGCACGGAGACGTAGTACGGAGGGAGAGAGCTATGGCGGCCGGCAGTGGGATTGACAGGGGCGAGCGGTGGAGCCTGGCGGGCGCGACGGCGCTGGTCACCGGCGGCAGCAAGGGGATCGGGCACGCTATCGTGGAGGAGCTGGCTGCGTTCGGTGTGCGCGTGCACACGTGCTCGCGCAGCGCGGCTGACCTGGAGGCATGCCGCCGGCGGTGGTCCGAGATGGGGCTGGACGTCACGGTCACCGCCTGTGACCTCGCCGTTCGCGCCGACCGGGAGACGCTCATGGAGACTGTCAAGGTCACCTTCGACGGCAAGCTCGACATTCTGGTAAGGTGAAACCTACTGTCCAGTCCCGTACATCCTATCCATGTCCATTCGACGACGGCAGAGTACACGTCAATAAGTCATACTGAGCGTCCATGCATGATGCACCTCCTCTCATTCCTGTTCTTTTTAAAGCATCCTTTCCTATAGGGGATTTAGCTCCTTCAGTTCCCTAAAAAAAAAGGATGTTGCTATATTATATTCTAGGCACCTGAGATTTGGATTTCTTTAAGGCGACGCATCTCAGCCCTTGCATCGGAAACAGACGGTCAAGATTAGCCCCTATTCATCTTCTTCCTCCAGGCTCCAGTAGCTCTCACCCCCGCCACCGCAGAAGTCACCTCCGCAGCCGCCCACCGCCCCACCGCGGTAGGGTCTTATCGGAGCTCCACTGCTGTGGCTACGGCCGCGGAGCTCCGGCGAGACCCTACCACACCTGTGGTAGACTCCCTTGCTCCCGCCGCCGCTTTCTTCTCCAACTCCGGCGAACGGCCAGGACTCCCTAGCCCCCTACCTAGCTGGCCACCTCCACCGTCGCCAGGGCCCCAAACTGCTCGGGCACCGTCCCCACAGCCTGACCTGTCTATCTCCCCGGGGCCCCTCATTTTACTAAGGTCACCGAAGTTGGGAGAGAGAGAAGATAAGCTCGCCGGAGTTGAGGAGGAGGAGGGCCTACCTCGCCGGCACCGCCGCCGCCGCGTGGGGAGAGAAGGAGATGCGTGCGCATGCCCGTGGGGAAGGGGCGCGAGCGCCGTCGGCTGAACAACCAGCACATCTCAGTCGACTGAGCTGTAGGAGGAGTGGAAAAAAACTAGCGCAAAAAAAGGTCTTTTAGAGATGGGTGTTGAGCGTTTGTAAAGGCCTTCTACCGAGCCCAACTGCAGTCCGCATGCCGACCAGTGCCACGCTGCCACACATCTCACTGGAGCCATCGATGGCGTCAAGCTTGAGGATAGAAAAGCCGAACCAGAGCCGCCAACACAGGTTTCTCAACTATGCTCCGTGCCCGTGGCTCGGTTCTCCCCCCTAGAGAGAGGGTGAGAGAAGAGAGTGTTGGGTGGGTTACGCCAACTACCACCGTGTGCGCCCTCGGCAGCTTGGGAGTGAGAGAGGGTTGCCACCGTGTTGAGTCGGGAGAGAAACGGCGAGAGAGAGCTAAGCGCGTGCTTATATACGCATGTTCAGTTTTAGGCCTTGTGAGCCTCAGGCTCATTTAGTGAGACAAACCTCTTAAGAAGTGCCTCTGTTAATGGATTTTTGACTTGCGTTAGCTTCAAAATGAGTCGACCGCCTCTGAAAATTATTGGTTATCCTTAGAGACTAGCTTACCTTTTGTCTACCTCTGTTAATCAAACATCTTGTCTATCAAAATCATTTTTGTAGTATTGATATATACATGCTTGCACATACACAGGTGAACAATGCGGCGTAGTTGTTCCCGAAACCGGTGGCGCAGTGCACGGCGGAAGACTTCTCACGTTGCATGGCGACCAACCTGGAGTCGTGCTTCCACCTCTGCCAGCTCGCGCATCCTCTCCTCCTTAATGCCTCCCTCGCTGGCGGCGGAAGCGTCGTCAATGTCTCCTCCATTGGAAGTTTGCTGGCCTACAACAACATCATCCTCTATGGCACCGCCAAAGGTATAGGCCTTTATAATTTTCCAAATTCACAGGACTTTTCAGATATTCTGATTTCAGAATACAATTCCAAGCATAACTTCCAATGTTTTAAAGTAAATAATTATTCATTTTTATTGTTTTTATAAGGTTTGACAGAGTGTTGTATTAGAAGAAATAAATTAATTAAGGTTGTTTGTCAAGATGATGGAAAAAAATTGTCCAACTACTTGCCAAGACAAGTACAAGTGGGAATTGTTCTGTTCGAATTTTGAATTTGACATTCCATTTTCCTTGTTAAACTGCTTGGCATACGGCACAACACAAAAACTAGAAAATTCGAAAGTATTTAAATCACACACACACACACACACCGTAAGTTTAAATTTAGTTGTTTGAGATACTCCCTTCGTCCTGAATATAAGGAATATAGAGTTCAAAGTTTGTACCAAGCACCCAAAAGACCCATGTATACCTCATTAATGTCTATTACCAACCTAAATATGGTAATTAGAGAGGGTATATACGTCATTTATCTTACCATATGTTATGTCCTTGATAGTAAATTTGTTTTATTTGTGCGCATGCCAGCCGGAATGAACCAACTAACAAGGAGCCTCGCCGCCGAGTGGGCCAGCGATAAGATTCGTGTGAACTGCGTGGCACCTGGACTCATCATGACCGACATGGCGAAAGTGGTACTTATGCTCACCTATGGAGACATAATTAGTGTATATAATTGCCTACATGAAATTAGTTGACATGTAAATTAAATGGATGCATATATAATGAGAGTACGTACATAGACAATGAAGTTTATCTACTTATTCTTTCTTTTTTTTTGAGTTGACAGGTAGAACCAGAATTTCTGGAACCGGAGATTTCACGGGTTCCGATGCAGAGGTGCGGGGAGGTAGAGGAGGTGGCGTCCGTGGTGTCGTTTCTGAGTATGCCAGCATCTTCCTATGTCACTGGCCAAGTCATTCGCATCGACGGCGGCCGGACCATAAGTGCGTGAGCTTCTAGCTAATATATATACTACTAAATATAGATGTGAGTTACAATGAGATATTCAGCTTGTTATATTTCTTGGATGACTTGCAATGTGGAGACTTTATTTAGCAGTCATGTCATGCATTTCAAATTATCTGAGAATCGAACTTCGTATTGTTTCTAAATGTGTACTGCTCTAACCCGTACATTATGAGAGGTTTAGAGCTTTATCAATGATTGTATCATGCGGTCCAATGACTCCGGTGGTAAACCTTACCTCCTCCATCTAAAAATGACGAATCATATTTGACCAGAGAAAAGTCAAACCTTACTGATTTAAACAACAATTAGGCAATTGTGCCCTATGCAACAGTAACTGCGAAGAGACAAGAATGCATCTCTTTTTTGAGTGTCCATTCATCACAAACTGTTGGCAGTCTATCTCTATCTGTTGGAACCTGCAACAACAACCACCTTTAGACATGGTCATTGAAGCCCGAGATGTTTTTGATAATCACATCTTCAAATAAATTATAATAACAGCCTGCTGGATTATTTGGACAACCACGAATACAGTCACTTTCAACAATGCAAATTTCTCTTTAAATATGTGCAAAGAAGACTTAAAGAAAGAGCTTGGTTTGGTTTGTATCAGAGCCAAGTAAAATGTAAAAACCGCTTTAACTTTGTGGAGAGAAAGTATCCCTTAAATGTAATCTCCTTCTCTTTTTTGTTTTTTAGGAAGCCTTGTAACTTGTATAGATATATACATAATCAAAAATTTAAGAGGCCTCCCCTGCTGATCCCTTGAAAAAAAGTTTAGAGCATAAATCTTACATCAATAGATTTTGTATTGAAAGTGCTGATTGATGTTTTAACAATTAACTACATATTATAAAAAAAATATAAAGGTTAAAATCTACTTTGTAAGACTTTTACCCTAGTTAAATATGATTCTCGCCCGATGGAAGGAGTATTAGGGGTGTTCATATGATTTCTCAAGTTAAAATATGATTTCTCAAGTAAACACTCCACATTCTCATATGACTCGCTGTTCATATAGCTTACTTCTGTTTTTCATGGGGATGTAGGTGGATTTGACTGGGCACCGCTTGCATTCCTAGTTTTTCCTTTTATTTATTTGTCTTATCACCTCCATTCACTCCCTCTTTTTCTCTTGTTCTCTGTTCCCTCTCTATATCTCTATGGCTCTATGGTCGCTGTTGGAGCATGCCTCCTAGGTCAGCCCTTGCCGTATTCTAACCCTTCCCACGCAAGGCCCCAAGCGTCTTAGAGGGGAGGGTAGTAGGTATACATTGATCGGTGATTATTGTTCCAATACCATATTAATTATAGCATTTACTACATACATCCAACTGCAGAAAAACTCAATAATGAATTGAGAGATGGGAGGGGTGCAATAAATGCGAGGAGACTTTAAGGAAAATAAATGAGCTGATTGACCATTTAACCTCCTAGAGATTTATTTATTGCATATACAAATTGTTGAGCTTTTGTCTTGTGATACAAAATAAATGAGCTGATTGACCATTTAAACTCAATACTGGACGCGCTTCACCATATGGGTGACGGGCTAGGCGGTGGACAACCCTTTTTTAAGAAATTTTGACGAGGTGCTGACCATCCGCGGCTAGACGCGTGTTGGACCGCCTCTCGTATTGGGCCACACCGGCGCTGCTGGACCACAGGCCGCTGACTTCGTGTCTGCGCTGGAGATGCAGCTCAGCGATGCATGCTGTCGCGGGGTGGAGGGAAGCCAACGACTTGACAACCAGTCCAGCAGGGGTGAGCCTCCTCTGCGGCTAAGTAGTTGGGTTAAGAGCCAAGTCCACCAGCAGGAATAGGTGCCAAGCGCGTGGATTTTAATGCCTCTAAGATTAGGGCCCGCACACCTTCCCTTTTAGTTAGTTCTTTTGGGCCAAATTAAAAGTGGGACAGGTTTGTTGTTTTTATTTCATTTATTTAAGTTTTTTTTTACTACTACACAAAATCTTTTACACAACGTTTGGCAAATGGGCTCCATGATGGTTGGTCTGGTTGCCCGCCTCGGTTATTCAAGGCAGGGCAGTCAGGCCAGCAACCGCCTCGGTTAATCCTTAACCGAGGCGGGCGCTGTAAAGAAACCACCATAGTTAATGCGGCTTAACCGAGGCGGTTGCCCTAACGCAACCACCTCGGTTAACAACCGCCTCAGTTAATGTGTTTATTAACCGAGGCGGTTGGCTTAGGGTAACCGCCTCTGTTAAGCCATTAACCGAGACGTTTGGTCTAAGGCAACTGCCTCAGTTAACAGGCGATTAATCGAGGCGGTTTCCTTATAGTGCCTGCCTCGGTTAAGTCTGGGCTATAAATGCAGCCACACCCACCCTTCTT